CAATGACCACGTTACAAGCTGAATAAAGTCCTTATCAGAGGATCTGAAAGCTTTTGAAATTCCAATGTGGTTTGAGTGATAAAAATATATGATTGCCTTAAAAAGCTGAGGGCAAAAATTGAGAAATCTAAAGCTGAGCCATTTAAATGATTCAATGATCCATGAGTTGAAGATATCATCTTTATATTTTATGAAAGAAATGATTATAATTTGTTGAGATAGCAAGGAAAAGATTCTTCTTCTCTGTCAAGAATTTCAAACCTTTAATCTTTTTGTCAAGAATTCCATTTCTTTCATCTTAATCATGCCATCCATTCATACCTATCAATTCCATCTCTCTTTGTTCTTATCATCGTATCCTCATAATAATAAAAAAAGAAAAAAAAAGGGCTTTTGTTTTATTCATGCTACTTATAAAGAAAGTAGAGATAACTCAAATGGAGTCAAAGCAATAAGAATCCCAAGGGAGTGAGCTTAATTGTTGTCATGCATGATCATTTTGAGCAGTTGGCATATGATGTATTCAGAAAATCTAGCCCTTGTTGTGATATGATTGACTCCATTATAGATGCGAGCATGCAATACAAATTTCAAATTGAGGGGCAATTGCAAACCCAAGGTAAATTCTTTTTCCAATAAATTTGCATCTCAAGATCACAAGATAAAACCATCTTCAAACTCCTTCATGACATTTCCAAATGCATTTCTGTAAAAGGCAATTTCTCAACTTATTTTCAAAAGCAATTTTTCAATTCATTTCTTACCAAATAAGCATTCCATAACATTTCTGTGCCAACATGACATATCAACATAACATTCCATTTCATTTTCTTGCCAAATAAGCATTCTATTATATTTCTCTACTAACATGACATTTTACTACTTTTGTCTGCAAACATGAACATGCGGCTTTGCATATCATTCAGCCCAACACGCGGCTCATATCATTCAGCCCAACACGCAGCTTTGCATTTCATTCAGCCCAACACGCGGCTCATTTCATTCAGCCCAACATGAGGCTTTGCATTTTATCAGCCCAACATGCGGCTCATTTCATTTAGCCCAACACGCGGCTCATTTTATTCAGCCCAACACGCGGCTCATATCATTCAGCCCAACACGCGGCTTTGCATTTCATCAGCCCAACATGCGGCTCATTTCATTCAGCCCAACACGCGGCTTTGCATTTCATCAGCCCAACATGCG